ATTTCGGGGGGGGGGGCAGGGTCCGGTCCGGGGCGGGACCGGACAGGACCGGACCGGGGGGCTCCCGGGCTCTCACCGGGACGCGATCCGGGTATTTCTTGCGGATCTTCTCGCCCTCGCAGCGGCGCCGCTCGAACGGCTGCTCCTCCTTGTACAGGAACTTCATGGCTGCGCTGCTGCCTGCGCCGCCTGCGTAAGCGCCGCCCGGCCTGCGCCACTGACGTAACCGCCGCCCGCCCGCTCTGCGTCAGCTCCCTGCGCCGCCGGCGTAACCGCCGCCCGCCTGCGCCTCTGGCGTAACCGCCGTCCGCCTCCCCTGCGTCAGCTCCCTGCGCCGCCGGCGTAACCGCCGCCCGCCTGCGCCGCTGGCGTAACCTCCGCCCGCCTCCCCTGCGTCAGCTCCCTGCGCCGCCCAAACCGTCTCTCTCGGCGCGCGCCACTAGCGTGGCCGCCGCCTCCACCTACGCCCCTAGCGTAACTGTCGGTTTCTTTCACGGCCTCGCAGCTACGCCACTGGCGTAAAAGGGGCAAGCCCCCCCCCGCCCCCATTTTGCCGGGGTTACGAAAAGGGCGTAAATCCCGCTTCCGTCTGACTCATTCCCGCTGCCGGGCGGGGGCGGGGCGGGGCTACGCTACAGGCGCAGGCCAGGCATTTCTCCACCTCCCCGCGATTCACAGAGCCCCACGTAGCAGTTTGACACCAAAACAAAATAGTGCGGAAGGGAGACAGGGAGGCGCGGCCAATGCAGGGGGCGGGGCCGGGCCTCGAGGGAGGGGGCGTGGCCACGGCTGGAGAGCCAGCAACGGGACGGCGGAAGGATAACGTGTCATGTGATAAGAAGAAGAACAGGAGTACTTGTGGCACCTTAGAGACTAACAAATTTATTAGAGCATAAGCTTTCGTGGGCTATAGCCCACTTCTTCGGATTCATATGCATCCGAAGAAGTGGGCTGTAGTCCACGAAAGCTTATGCTCTAATAAATTTGTTAGTCTCTAAGGTGCCACAAGTCCTCCTGTTCTTCTTTTTGCGGATACAGACTAACACGGCTGCTACTCTGAAACGTGTCATGTGATAAACGTCACTCAGCGAGGGTGGTCACGTGCCCGCCGGGAAGAAGATCCGGCCGGGAGGAGGCTGAGAAACAGGGGGAGGCCCCGTGACTGAGGAAGGGGGGCGGCGTGAGAGGGGGAGAGACCAATGGGAGGAAGGGACGGGGCGGAGGGTGAGCGTGACCAATGGGAAGGGAGGAACCGTGTGAGGGGCCCACGGGGCGGCGGGTCCTTGTGGAAGACCCCAAAAGAGAAGTGGGGGGGGGGGCACAAAGGTGGGTGAAACCATTGGAGGGGAAGGCGCAGCGGATGGAAGAGACCAAGGGGAGAGGGGGGGGGGGGGGGACAGCCGTATGTGGGGGAGGGTCCAATACCGGTGAGAGGGGGCTAGGAGCCAGGACTCCTGGGTTCTCTCCCTGGCTCTGGGAGGGGAGCGGGGCTGGTGGGTTAGAGCAGGGGGGCTGGGAGCCAGGACTCCTGGGTTCTCTCCCTGGCTCTGGGAGGGGAGCGGGGGCTTGTGGTTAGAACAGGGCAGCAGGAGCGTTGCTGTGTGGGAAGGGGTTTGGCGGCCGAGCAGGGGTGGGGACGAGGAGTGCAGACGGCTGCAGGGCGGGGCTCTCCGAAGAAAATCCTCCCTCCACCACAGCCTACCTCAGCCCCCCAAAGTCTGGCTTCCCCTTTCTGTCCCCGGTCAGCTCCACCCACAGGGAAGTGAGTCACCCCCAGGATATTGAGTACCTCAGCTGCCCTGCCCCACCCACAGAAACACCAGGTTTGAAACTGGCCCTGAGATGCAGCCACCTCTGGGGCGGGGCAGTTGGTTACCCGGGTACCCCTTGCCCGGCCCTGTATTCAGCCTCAGGGGAACAGTACCACTCCCCCCCCACCCATCTCCTGCCACGGGAGGCTCCCCTGCTTCACTGCACCCTGGTGGTGTCGGAGAACGGTAGGAAGTGCCTGAAAATAGAACCTGGCCGCGACCGCCCAGTTCCCTCGCCACCAGGAAAGTACCTGGGGATTTTCCAACCTCAAGGGGGTATTTTACACTCCCTGCCCCACAGCACCCCCTAGCCCCGCCCTGGGGCCAGCCCCACCTGCCAGGGGAGAGCACCCCCTGCTGAGATCCCGCCCCGCTCCCTGCCCCACAGCGCCCCCTAGCTAAGAGGCCATCTGTCAAACCCACAGCAGAGTGTAGGTGCCCCCCTCTCCCCGAGAATGGGAGGCTGGGAGCCAGGATGCATGGGTTCCATCCTGGCGCAGGTGGGGCTGATGGTATCCTCAGCTGATCCTTGAACCCAGCTTCACCCATCATGACAGGCCCCACCCAGCCCCCCTCTGAACGATGCCCTCAAACCCTGTCGCTCCCCTACGGGCAGAGAACTCCAGGCCTCCGGCAGCTGGGGAAACTGAGACAGAGAGGCCAAGCAGCAGAGACCCAGGCCCTGCCACGTGTGAACCAGCTGGGCACTGACCCCAGGCAGACTTGGGCCTCTGGCGGTGGCTTCCCCAGCACTCACGTGCCTTCCCGTCACCACTCGCTCGACCCCCCGCCCCTCCCACAGCCAGGGAGAGAACCCAGGAGTCCTGGCTCCCAGCCCCCCTGCTCTAACCCACCAGCCCCAAGTCCCCTTCCAGAGCCGGGCAGAGAACCCAGGAGTCCTGGCTCCCAGCCCCCCACCACCCGCTCTAACCACTAGCTCCCACTCCCCTCCCACTGCGGGGGCCAGATTCCTTCCATCTCCCTGCGCAAGACTCCAACTGTTGAACATCTGGAGCGGGGTAGGGGGGCTGCGAACCCCCCCCGCAGTAAGAACTCTTCGAACACGGCACCAGTTCTGGCCTTGCTCAGCGGCTATAATTTCTCTCCCGGGTTTTCCTTCCCCCCCAGAGTCCGAGGAAAGAAACCAACAGAGAAGGGTCGTCCGAGCCCCAAGACCTCCCCCGGGCCAAAAAAAAAATCGAGCGGCTCCAGCCCGGGGAGGAATGGAGGGAAGAACAGAACGAAAAAGGAAACGAAAAGAAAAAATGAGGTCTTTGTACAAGGCCAAGAGGGGCAGGGGTCTTGTAAAACCAGACCCCCCCAGCCTGATCAGACACGTCCATCCGCGCGCCGTAGAGTTGCACACCCCCTTTCTTTGTCCAGCTGCCGGATAAGCTCCGCCCTCCGAGTCAGTCCCCGCCCATTCTTGGCACGGGGGCTGGGGGGAGAGTCATTTGTTGGTGGGGAATTGGGGGGCATACCCCCCTGCTCTTCTCCAGAGTTCAGAAAACGATGGCGGAGTCCACGCTGTGGTGGTGGCAGAGGTGGGATCCGGCGGAGGTCAGGGGCCCCCGCCCGAAGAAAGGAGGTGCTGACGTCACCAGAGGCGGTGCTGATGGAGGTTCCGGCTCAGCACCGACCGCACATCTGCTGTGAACCTGGGGAGGGGAAAGGAAGCCTTAGGAGAGAACCCAGGAGTCCTGGCTCCCACGCCCCCCCCCCCCCCGCCCAATTCTAATTAACCAGACCTCTTTGAGCTAATGACCCCTAGGTACTGGCCCAGAGCACAGGGACTGTGCAGAGTTTCAAAGGATCCCCCTCGCTGGATCTCCGCCTAATAATTCACCTGTGGAACTCCTCGCCACAGGATGTTGTGACCACCAAAAATAGAACGGGCCAAGAAGAAAAAGTTCCTGGAGGGAGGGTCCGTGAATGGCTAGTAACCCAGGCAGGTGGAGACGCGATCCCAGGAAGGAGGGCACCCGGCAGGGAGGCGCCGCAAGGATTCGGGGCTTGGCCCCACACCAGAGCGTGCTGCTCATTCAGCCTGGGCTCTCCGGCGCGGGTCTGTTGGATACGGAAGCATCAGGGTCCAACCCTTCTGCCTGCGACCGCCTCCAGCCTGCGATATGGCCACCAATGGCACCAGTGTGGGGGTGTTAAGCGGAGCCAGGGAGAGAACCCAGGAGTCCTGGCTCCCAGCTGCCCCTGCTCTAACCCACCAGCCCCCCACTCCCCTCCCGGTTCTGGGGCGAGAACCCAGGAGTCTTGGCTCCCAGCTGCCCCTGCTCTAACCCACCAGCCCCCACTCCCCTCCCGGTTCTGGGGCGAGAACCCAGGAGTCTTGGCTCCCAGCTGCCCCTGCTCTAACCCACCAGCCCCCACTCCCCTCCCGGTTCTGGGGCGAGAACCCAGGAGTCTT